GGAGCGGGTTCAAGAATCATTTGATTCAGATCGGGACTTCAGAGCGGGTTCGCGTATCATTTGATTCGGAGCGGGACTTCGGAGCGGATTGAAGAATCATTTGATTCAGTTCGGGATTTCAGAGCGAATTCGCAAATCATTTGATTTGGATCGGGACTTCGAAGTGGGTTCAAGAATCATTTGATTCAGATCGGGACTTCAGAGCGGGTTCGCGTATCATTTGATTCGGATTGGGACTTCAGAGCGGGTTCACGTATCATCTGATTCGGATCGGGACTTCGGAGCGGGTTCAAGAATAATTTAATTCAGATCGGGGCTTTGGAGCGGGTTCGCGTATCATTTGATTCGGATTGGGACTTCAGAGCGGGTTCACGTATCATTTGATTCGGATCGGGACTTCGGAGCGGGTTCAAGAATCATTTGATTCAGATCTTGACCTACTTCAGAGTAGGTATCTTTTTCGGAGCGCGGATCGCTAATCTTTTTTCCTGATTAATTTTTTTAGTAAACCATTCAAAACATAATTAAGGCAATACAGTTATTAAAACTAAACAAAGAAAAAGAAAAAAAGCATAAAAACAAATACTGTAGAAAATTAACCATGGTTTTATTATAGTAAGTGTAGTGACCTTTTTTTTTTTTTTGTATAACCAGTTTTACTACAAATACCATAGTGTAGCAAAACCATGGTTCATTTGTGGTTACAATGGTCTAACTATAGTAACCATGATTTTTTTTTTACCTCAAGAGGACACAGAGATGCAGTTTTCACTTCTTAAGGATTAACAGAACTTTGGATAGTTTCAATATACTTGTTTAGCTCAACTTTGAATAAAGAAAAGAGAGGTTTAGAGCCAGATTATTCTTTATGTTTGTGAAATTTAGCTAGTAGGAAACACAAATTAATTAAGTTATATTTTCCTGTATTTTCTCTTGAGTAGTCAAAAAATTCAAAGAAAACATCTTTAAAACGGAAAGAAAAGTCACTTACAAAATGAGATCGGGAACATTAAAAAAAATCTGACCAAGTTTCTCTGTGTGGGTACATTTCCAAACAATTGAGTGATATCTTCACCAGAAGAGACAAAACAGCAACTCACTTCAATGTCTGACTTATATAATATGATATCTCAATCTATAATAATATAATTATGTCCATAAGCTTTTTGTGAAATTTGGAGTAACTCATTAATCTGTTGTTTGACCTCTTCATATTTAAGGGGAGAACTATAGTTTCCAAAGTCAAACATCGCTTCTTATGATTTTCAAGGGTGTAGAATTTAGACGCTATGACATGTACCAATATCCAGCGACTACTAAATTGTCCCAAGGAATGATTTTGATCAAACAATTACATTTCTGTTGTCTGCCATTATGTCCCTACCAATGCCAAAATCAGACCTACACACTTGTGGTCCATTGATCAGAAATATATTCGATCAAATATGTCCTAGTTCATTATTGTTATTTTCTGAACAGCTGCAGCAGTACTCTGAAAAGACTTTATATATTATTTTTCAACTTTGCAAAAGTGTATCCTGTTGCTGCTAGATGCTTACTTTGTTGTATGCTTTTTAAGTTGTTAATAGGTGGCTAAAAAAATTTACTCTTCACCTAATGTATAAACATAATGAAGCATGAAAGTTCAAGGAGTTTGTTTGGTTGTATGTAGAGTGTTCTTGTTTTCATAAAGCTTCAGTTTCTGGTCTATTGTGTACAGGACACAAGAGGGCAGCATCAGTCCATCATGAGAGCATGGAGATGATTCCTCTGCAGCCCTCTGAGAAGGATGAACTAAACCTGCCATCTGTTGCAAAAAGGACGTTTCTGCATCACAAACAAAAATTAAATGGACCACAAGTCATTTTTTCACACTTAATAAAAGGAATTAAATTATATATATATATAAAATACACTTAGGACAAGTTTTTTTTTTTTTGCCTACGTCAGGGTGGCCATCATGTCAATTTATGCCAAAAAGCCTGATATTTAATTGTAATTTAAATTGAATATGAAATTCCAAAACCTGAGATCAAGTGAAATGTTTATATTTGAATACAATTTAAATAATACATTTGATTTTTACTACTTTTAGCACTGTTACTATAAATTTATATTTACAAGCCTAAATGAATATATATAGGCACGCATGTATGTACAGGTGCATCTTAATAAATTAGAATGTCATGGAAAAGTTCATTTATTTCATATATATATATATATATATATAATGTATGTATGTATGCATGCATAAGATGAATATTTATACAAGATTACAATTTCAAGAATGCATGAATACTGTAATATACTGAATTCTGTAAGATCATTTTCTAATGTATTTTGTGAACTTTTAGCCCAGTACTTAAATTAAAAAAATGTCAAGACCTGAAAAATGTTCCCAAATAAATTAATACAGATATAACTTGGTCAGTCGTGGACTGATGATGTTTATTTGGTGTACATTGAAAACTGAAAATTAACAAACAAAACCTGATGACCTAGAACAAAGTTTAATATCTTGACTCCAGGCAATCTGGCTGCTCTAATTTCAGTTTTCTAAAAAAGGGAAATCTTTCTCTGCAGACGCAAACACGTTACTAACAAATGAAGACCTGAAACAACATTCTGTAGTGTAGGAAAAACAATTCCAAAAGTGTTTCAAATATGTTAAGAAAGAAAACAAAACTACATATTGTAAATAGTCGGGCAGTAAAAAGTACATACTCAGGATTTTGTGTTAAAATAAGAATATCTGACAAAATATATTTAGTTTACAAAACTTTGATACGTGAGACTACACTTAAAGCATCTGTTAAATGGTGTTTATATATTATCATACATGTCCATATTGCACGAGAATCGTCGGAAAACTTGGTCCTCCCTCTTGGCACAGACAGAGTAAGTAAATCTGTCTCAACAGGGAGCAGAAGCAAAAGATTGAATATAAATCATACAAGCATCTTAGAGTACACGTAAGACTGAATAACACATAATACTTGGTTTTGATCTCCCTCTCCTCCGTTTTGTTCTGTCTCCAGCACTGTGTCATTTCACTGGTCCCTTGACTCATACAACAGTTTGGCAGCCTAGAGACAAACGGAATAGAAAACATAATATTATATAATACAGTTCAGAAACTTCCTTGTTTACAACTAGGGCTGGGTGATTATCAGGGAAGAAATTGTGCTGATTAACATTACGACTGCTACGATACCATTATTATCAGGTTTCACTGCTGATTAGAAATATACATTATATATATCTTCCTATTTAAATTGAACATACTTAAAGCTGACTTGCCTTAAAGGGACTTATTTAAGGCCATTTATTTAATTAGAGACCTATTTATTTAATTACAGGTAACATTTAGGATATATTCACATTGATTTTGCTAGAAATATAAAATTAAACTTGATTACATAATAAATGTGATTACTGCAATTATATCAAAAGCATCTACGATTTAGATTTCAGTTAAAAACTAAGAGTGGGTAAGTTTGAAATTATTATTCCTCAGTGGAAAAACCCACCACTCATTTCAGAATAAATACATAAATCCCTTTTTATACCTCTTTGACCCTCTATGTAATATACACTGAACAAAATTATAAACACAACACTTCTGTTTTTGCCCCCATTTGTCATGAGCTGAACTCAAAGACTGAAGAGGAGTGGACTAACATTCCACAGGCCACAATCAACAACCTGATCAAATGATGGTCACACCAGATACTGACTGGTTTTCGGACCCCCCTGGACCCCCCAATACAGTAAAACTGCACATTTTAGAGTGGCCATTTATTATGGCCAGCCTAAGGCACACCTGTGCAATAATCATGCTGTTTAATCAGCATCTTGATATGCCACACCTGTGAGGTGGATGGATTATCTTGGCAAAGGAGAAGTGCTCACTAACACAGATTTAGACAGATTTGTGAACAATATTTGAGAGAAACTGGCCTTTTGTGTACATAGAAAAAGTCTTAGATCTTTGAGTTCAGCTCATGAAAAATGGGGGCAAAAACAAAAGTGTTGCGTTTATAATTTTGTTCAGAGTATATATATATATATATATATATATATATATATATATATAAAAAGTGTTTCTTTGTTTTTTTTAATAGTGCACTCTTTCACTCACACCTACTTTGTGCATGGCTGCGAGCCAGGCAGATGCGACGCGCTTGTCATCGGCAGTGTCCATGTGGAGCTGCTGAAGGTTCTGAGATCCTGGTGGCTTGTACTGAAGCACCATGCCACTGGCTCGAAGAGAACATCCTGAAAACAGGTCAAAGGTCAGTGGTGGGTTTGCACACAAAGATTTGGGTTTATCAGATGTCATTCACATAATACGACAGTAACATGGTGCTGAAGTGCAACTGTAATATCTCCAGCAAACATAAATGATGGGGAAACCATGAATAACTTGATGTCTTGAACACCAGAAGTCTGAGGGATCATCACAATAAACATGCACATGCAGCCGTTCATTAGACTGCCTTTGACACTATTACTTACAGCCATGTCACAGGAAATGAGTGCATGCGTGGCTACTTACACCATATGAAGGAAACAACAAGGAAAACAAACTAAATATTTTAGATGAGGAAGAAGAAGAAATAAAAGAGAGATAGAGGGATGCTGACCTTCAGATATTTGACTGTCCAGCAAGCTCGTGTACGAGCATACATCTTTCTCTTAATGCAGAAGAGAACAAGGAAATTAAAGAAAAGACCGTTAAAAAGGAAAGAAACAAACTAAAAAAAGTCTGTTGAAGTGTATGTATTCATCATAAGAAGATGTATATAAATTGAAGGGAACAACAAGGAAAACAAACTAAATGGCACATATTTTAGACGAGGAAGAAGAAGAAATAAGAGAGATAGAGGGACGCTGACCTTCAGATATTTGACTGTCCAGCAAGCTCATGTACGAGCATATATCTTTCTCTTCATGCAGAAGAGAACAAGGAAGTTAAAGAAAAGAAGAGAACGTTAAAAGGAAAGAAATATAAACAAACAGAAAAAGTATGTTCAAGTGTATGTATGCATCATAAGATGTATATAAATTGGCCTCAAAAAGTCAAATCACACTTAATGTCTGAATGTTTTTGCATGAATTTCAAAATAAGTGGCATTTATATCTGAACTTAAGGTGAACTGACTTCATACATCCATTAAATATCATTTAGTTTTAAAGTCACTGCAAAAAATGGCTCAGAAACGTCAAGTTAGTTCCCTGTAGTTATTTCATTGAAAGGTTTGATATTTTATATCTAATGCAATGACATTCAGACATTTTAAGTGTCCAAAAACCTACTGGGGCCACTGTATAGTGTGTATATGTCAGTTGTATAGAGTTAAGTTCACTCAGTGCTACAGTGCAATGTTTAACAGCCATCAGCATTCAGTTAACGCAGAAACTGACGCAGCATACGTACAGTCATGTGATTATTTGAAGATACATGTGTCATAATATGTGAAGCTTTCAAAGAAATCTCTATATCCTATCCTATCAGTATCAGATCAGGCCATATTGTCCATCAAACGTATTTTATTAACAGAATAATTCTCAGTTCATAATCATACTTGCGTGAATTTATATTTAAAAACAAACCCCAAGATAGGTTTCATGCTGCACCCTCACTTTCTTCTGAAACAGGAGGCAGTAAAAGTCTTTATTGATTAGTATTACAGGAAGTTATGAGCATCTGGGATCCATCTGGAAAAGATGCCGATTATAAGTAATTTATGACAATCTGAAAAGACGACTTAATGATGCTCTATAAAAGTGGGCCTTGTGATTACCAGACAGACACAGCATGCTCACTAATTCAAGTTTGGTCATGATGGTTAACTAGTTGTCCAACAACAACTAACTAGATTATGGAGGACAACTAGTAAATCTACCTGGATTTATAGTTTAGCTGCAGTGCTTTAAAATGGATTAATTTAAATTCAATGGTTTCCACAAAAATATTAAGCAGCACAACAGTTTTTTAAGGCATCAAATCAGCATATTAGAATGACTTCAGCTTTGAAATCATTCAAAATTAAATTTTGCATCCCAGGAATAAATTACATTTTAAAATACATTCCAATAGAAACCAGTTATTTTAGATTGTAATAAATCACAATATTACTGTTTTGACTGCATTTTAATTACACAAATGCAGCCTTGGCGAGCATGGGGATTCGTTCAAAATATTTTGAAAAGCAACACAACTGAAATGTTCCCAAGTCCAGAAACGTAGCAAAGAGATCGGTAAAATAATCCATGTGACATCAGTGGTTCATCCGCAATTATACGAAGCTACGAGAATACATTTTGTGCGCAAAAAAACAAAAAAACAAACAAAAAAAAACCACTTTATTCAACAATTCGTCTCTTCCGCATCACCCTGATGACATTTTGGAGAGTATCCGCTGGACGTAAACAGAGTATGCTGTTCTGTGTCAGCTGCATATATATATATATATATGCAATCAGCTTCGTATGATTGCGGATGAACCACTGATGCCACATGGATTATTTTACAGATCTCCTTGCTGTGTTTCTGGACTTGGGAACATTTGAGTTGCTGTCTATGCAGGGTCAGACAGCTCTCAGATTCCATCAAAAATATCTTCATTTATGTTCTGAAGATGAACGAAGGTCATACGGGTTTGAAACGACATGAGGGTGAATAATTAATGCCAGAATTTTCATTTTTGGGTGAACTAACCCTTTAAGTTGCTTAGGATAAAAGCGTCGATCAGATGCATAAACGTAATGTAATGTATCTATTCAGAGTGTACGCAATGCTAGCAAATGTGCTAAAATCACTAACAAGTTTTTGATCCTGTTTTCTGTTATTACATTTGGCTAGTGTCCAGAGAATTGTCTCAAAAATCAATGTTTGTATTGCTGTGAAAAGTTTGTCCACATAAAGCCTCACCTCCCGGGGTTGAGCCCTCAGTCAACACCTGCATACTGGAAATGCGAGACAGCTCCACCTCAAAATGACTCTCACCATCTAGGAAGAGATATCTGAGAGCAAAAAAAAAACAAAAAAAGAGAGAGAGATTCAAGACAGAATAGATCACATTTAAAGAGGAGAATTTGTGGGTTCTTACCTGTGATTATTGGACAAACGGCAGACCATGGTCTCCGATTTCTCTGAGGAATCCACTTTGACCAGGAAAGTTCCTCCTACAATGCAAGGTTGTAAAAGGCTGTAAGGTTGTGAGTGGAAAGTCTTATTAATGCATTTGACAACATTTTCCACATAAATTAAAGAGCTCATGAATGTTTACAGCACCAAATTCCAAGTAGACAATCACTTTTGACACACTGCATTAATAAACATCTTCAAACATCAATGTTTTCAGAGTCACAACAGACTGTTCAGACTTCCATTATGAATCCACGCTCAAAAATCTATTACATCCAGATGAAAACGCACACATCTGGGTGATGTACACTACTATTCAAAGGCTTGTGGTCAATAAGAATATTAAAAGATTTTGAAAGAAGTGTTTTTTGCTCGCCAAAAATACAGTAAAAACAGAAACACTGTGAAATGTTAATACAATTTAAAATAGCAGTCTTATATTAGTATATATTTTAAAAATATCATTTATTCCTGTGATTGAAAAGCTGGGTTTTCAGCAGAAATTACTTCCGTCTTCAGTGTTCTGATCAAAATATTGTGTATCTGCTGAAAAAGGTAATAATTCCTTTAAATACATAAGTTATTACCGACTTCAAACTTTATAATGCGTGTGTGCTATTAAAGAAACATTTAATTATTTCCATGGTAAATAAAACCTGAATAAAGGAAACTATGTTTTTAATTAATTAAAATATATAATTTAAATAATAAATGCTACAAGTGAACTTGGGTATGACAATAATGTACAGTATAAAACTGCATATTCATTTTGAGATTTGCTAAAGAATCCATTTAACAGTGTTGCTGAATTATTCATGTTTTTAAACATGAATTTTAAGAGTGCTGAATGACAGCAAATGACAATCAGCTTGTAACACTCCAAAGAGAAAGGAAAACTTGAAATCGCATCATATGACCCCTTTAAGGCAAAACACACAGGGATTTTTGGTAATGTTATCTGACAGTGGCCACAGCAAACCACAACTGTTCAAGTAGAATAAAACGATTCAGGTCTGATCACATTTTTAAGTCTAGGCATGTAATACATATTCATATTCTTGCCAACAAAGCCTTACATATCATGAGCTTTATAACTGATTAACATGCTAACATAGTACAGCTTTTTCCTCCTCCCACAAAGATCAAAATCAAATCGTTTTGACACATTTCATAGTTTACAGTAGTGCACTTACAATAGAAATCTGTGAGGCAAGGTACTGCACCAGAATAAACATTATAATACACACTGCAATGCTACAAGACTTAAATATTATATGACACTAGTGTGGTAAATTTCTTGCTAAACTCATGTTACTTTATATCCAATCTTTCAACTTCTATCAAGACCAAGTAAAGCATGGTAAAACTTGGTATGTTTCAGATAAATGAGTGCAACACTGCCCGTCCACCTTTTAAGCGGCCTTGGTTCCATGAGCATTTTGAGTTTTGAGCATTTTGAGCATTTCCATGAGTTTTTTTTTTAATATCTCTTTGGTTTTGAGACTTTAGTCTTTGCAACTTCAGGGATCTTATCTATGAACAATCAGCTTGTAACACTCCAAAGAGAAAGGAAAACTTGAAATCGCATCATATGACCCCTTTAAGGCAAAACACACAGGGATTTTTGGTAATGTTATCTGACAGTGGCCACAGCAAACCACAACTGTTCAAGTAGAATAAAACGATTCAGGTCTGATCACATTTTTAAGTCTAGGCATGTAATACATATTCTTGCCAACAAAGCCTTACATATCATGAGCTGTATAACTGATTAACATGCTAACATAGTACAGCTTTTTCCTCCTCCCACAAAGATCAAAATCAAATCGTTTTGACACATTTCATAGTTTACAGTAGTGCACTTACAATAGAAATCTGTGAGGCAAGGTACTGCACCAGAATAAACATTATAATACACACTGCAATGCTACAAGACTTAAATATTATATGACACTAGTGTGGTAAATTTCTTGCTAAACTCATGTTACTTTATATCCAATCTTTCAACTTCTATCAAGACCAAGTAAAGCATGGTAAAACTTGGTATGTTTCAGATAAATGAGTGCAACACTGCCCGTCCACCTTTTAAGCGGCCTTGGTTCCATGAGCATTTTGAGTTTTGAGCATTTTGAGCATTTCCATGAGTTTTTTTTTTAAATTCTTTACTTAAGCTTTGTTTAATCAGACCACTACAAACTTTGATTTGAAGGAGAAAAAAAAAAAAAAGTATGAGAAAATTGTACCGTGTCTGGTAGCCACTGACTTCCATAGTATCCATAGCTATCAGCAACACTGTCTGGTTACCAACATTCTTCAAAATCTCTTCTTTTGTGTTCAACAGGAGACAGAAACTCATACAGGTTTGGAACGGCATGAGGGCTAGTAAATGACAAAATATTCATTTTTCGGCGAACTATGTAAGATTTATGCATTTGTTCGTCAGCGGTTTCTGCTTACCTCCGAATATTAGTAATAAGTGGGCGTGGCCTAATATTTGACAGTCGCTTTTTCGCCATACAGAAGCATTGGACAAAGTTGTTTTTTTTCTCTCATGACAAACGCCTCAAATATCAATATTTTACCCATATGAAGAGTTCACATTGTTGTTGCCCACAGTAGCAGATGTTCGCTCATATACCCTACACATTCATTTACATGCATCTGAGATCAAATCTGTTCCAAAGATCCAAGTCTTGCTATCTTTTTTCTTTGTGACACCATCTGAGAAACTTACTAAATATTTTCCACTGGCTCTTGTTGCCTTGAACAAACAACGCCCAAAGATAGAGACAGACCAACCACAGCATCTATCATCATCATCATCACCATAATCTGTGATCAATATTCATTACCTCTTTGTCCGGAACCCACTGCGGCTCATCCAGGGAAAACGGGCTGGTGAAAGCACCGTTCTCCGGTACCATGCGGAGTCCGCTCGGGCTCCGGACCAGCTTTTTGCCGTCAGGAACCGCGGACATGTTTGTGTTTATGAGTGCGCAGCTGCTGCTCCGGAGAAGAACAGTACAGACATCAGCAGCACTACCAGTCACACAAACACACCTTCAGCATAAGAGTCCTTCATCGCACTGTAATAATAATAATAATAATGCCTTCAATTTCTCATTTCTAAACAACTATATCCTTATTTATCAGTGTGTTGTATTGTGCAACTACAGTGGCCCGACAAAGTAGGCCTATTTAAATGCCAAAATACATTAGATTCAAGCCAAGTGAAACACTAAAATAAACCAAAACAAATATTTAATTTTAGATAAGCCTTTGTTGTTGTTTTTTTCAATAAAAAAGCGTACTCTATTCTTTTTCTATCCTGTCTGTCTTATTATATAATTTAAAAAACAACAACAACAACAAAAAACCTTGCTACTTGTGCTGCGTTAAGCTGACTGATACTTGTTATAGCACTTGCATATCATTGCTCTTTTGTTGATTTTGATTGCTTCCATTGTCCTCATTTGTAAGTTCTGTAAATGTAAATATATATATAATAAAAGCAAGAGGACTCTTATTGTAAAATCAGGGACTCATATGTGTAAAAAAAAAAAAAATATATATA